AACACGAGTGCTGAGGTACTACCAGGTCTGCATAAAACTCCAGAAGAGCCCGTGATCGGTCTCTATATTCTCCCAGTTTATCCGTTAAGGGCCGATTCCCACTAAGCACCTGCCGGAATGCAGTTCAGTCTTTCGTTAAGATCAGCTCTGATTGCGCTTCGTCAAAGTGGCGGCGTACTTCCAAATTATGATGTTCCATGATGCCAGCTTATCATCCTACGCACGTTTCAAATAAGTTGCAAACTATGAGCTCCTCAGAGCGTTCATTGATATACCACCGATGAAGAAATTGAACAACAATTAGTGAAGGATAGTCCCGTCGAGTATTTTCCGGATGGCTGACATGGGTAAGAGCTTACCACAAACTTGAATGACTATGTTCGTATGTGTACTCAACGCCCAATTTTCACGTACATCTCACGTACTTCCTTGAGAACGAATATTTCCGCAGAACGGTCAACCGAATCAAGACTTCATTTGAAATCAGGAAGAACGACTCTGGTAAGCTGACTATACTAAAGCGAATGATTAGTGAAAATGTTGTCCCTGCAAATCCTCCTAGAATAGAAAACCAAATTATCGTTATAGTGTTGTCCTCGGTAGGATGACAGATGTCAAAGGATGAGTAACGCAAACAGTTGGAATTCAAATGAAATCAGGGCAGCCTAGTGGTAGTGTCCAGGTCCATAATTCCTCTTTGAAAGGCCGGATTAATGGCAGTAGAATACCAACCAACTAGGACCTGTGCTTCATTCCAGATTCTCTGAAGCACCGGCACCAGTTACACTTGTATAACAAGACTTTACGCTTTGAATATCAGCTTTTGTACATATCAAATGGCTTAGAATGCTCGAAGGAACGTTTTTTATTAACCAAAATTACTGGCCACTACGTCAGACGCATAGACTGAAAAGTATGCACTGAGTTGCCTCAGAGAATACCCGAGGAAGAAATGTTCCACATAAAGTTGTATACATTTAACTGGACTGAGTTTAGCGTTTCCCAATCCACAGTTTTGTTGACTGGAAATGTGTCCTAGATCGGATCGTCTATGACAGTGGCACTGGTGGTTTGCATCACAGGGCCGAATCGCGTCAATCTGTATATCACACTTCGTGGCCGGCTCTACCCTCCCCAGAAAGAGGATACTGAAATTAAAATAAGCCAAGAGAATACACTCCAAAGAGTTTGCAGCAGATTCCGTAGTAGCACGCGCCACTAGAATGAATACATCACTCCATAGTGCTTTGTTTGTATAAGGTTGTTTTGACATACACACATTCTTTCAAATGCACCAGGTCGCTGTACACATCCCTTTGGTACATCGTCGCATCGCTATTTTCGTGTCCATTGTCGTCGTCTCAGCACAACAAACCAACTAACCTGCCCTGTCGTTTGGTCCCAACAACAACGACTACATCCGCTCTGGTTTGTTGTTCTGTGGGCGGCAGCGAGTAAGAAATGTGCCGCGGACTCGGATATCATAAAAATCACACTGAACTCGCAAACCCCTTACGAACTGGGTCACACAGGACTCTCTAATTTGTGAGAACAACGCGAGTCCAGTATAACGTCTGCAAGGATCTGCACCACAAGCTTTTCCTGATCGTGCTCCCCCTGGACGAGGTGGTTTATTGGGATCGAACGACCGGACGCCGACAGAGCCAGAGAACAACGCCCAGTATAACGTCTGCAAGGATCTGCACCACAAGCTTTTCCTGATCGTGCTCCCCCTGGACGAGGTGGTTTATTGGGATCGATCGACCGGACGCCGACAGAGCCTAATGAAGTGAGCCTCAAAGGCAACACGAAACGACTGTATATGAAAAAGAGATGTTCACAGTGAGCCGATAACCTTGCAACGAGTACACGAAGGGTTGCGTCCATTTCAAAGTCACTACAATTAATGTTCGAGTACAAATGATGCAAAAACAAGTAGATGAACTTTGTTTCAGAAGTTTGGTAAAAA